GGGAACTAGCAAATATTTATATAGACAGAGTATAACAACACAGATGAACAATAGTGAGAAGTCTTATTAAATAAGGGAGAAATATTTGGGGGTGGGCAATTTGTTACTGCAGCATCAAATAGCTCATTTTGACTGATACAAGTTCTAAACTGACTTTTCTCCTAATAACTACCATGCCTTTATCCTATCTTTGTTTAGTTTAAGGTTAATTTTCTGGGCTATGAATACAATGATTCTTTAGCTTTTAGGAATACAGAGTATAGGAAATGAATTTTATTCATAATGGTATGTCCAGCCCACCTGCCAATTGTTAAGTGTTCTGTTAATTAATGTTTGGCAGTTGAAAAATTGAATGATAATTGAAATTTACTATGCTAAACAGAACTGAATTCTTTGTAATTAATTATTTATATTGGATGTTAGCTATATGAACATTAAGGTTAGTCAACTTCTTTATTAAATTTTCATCCCAGAACTGATCACATGAATTAACTATAGACAGTTCTATAGTTAACATAAAGGAATCATTGTGGGATTTTGTATCTCCCCTGTAGGATTCAGGGAGGAGAAGGAATATTTTGTGACTCTGTATTTTAAATAGGCTATGTATTTTCTGAGAGTTCCAGGCTCATTACAATTATTATACAATAACTCTAGGACTCATAGCCAAGTGTTAAGGATAAAGGAAAGCCCTATTCTTCTTTTGGAAGAAAACTAAGCTAGAGTTTTTGAAGTGTCTACACAATGTAAGTTTAATTCATTAAATAACTTAATTTTCACAACAATCCTTAAAGAAAGACTACTTTTCTAATGAGGAAGTTCAGAATAAAAGAGGTTGGATGACCCAAAAGGAGAGAGAGAACACAGGGGATTGCCCTGCCACAGAGACGGGGGGATGGGGGGATGGGGGTGGGAGGGATATTATCCATGGTGGTGGAAAATGGGCACTGGTGGAGGGATGGGTATCTGATCATTGTATAATTGAAACCAAAGCACAAAAAATTGTAAATCTACAACTTTAAAAAAAATAAAATAAAATAAAGGGGAAAAAAAAAAGAGGTTGGATGTTTTTCTCAAGAACACACAACAAATATGTGGTAAAACTAGGATCTTAAAGAATTTATTTTTTTCTCTTTGTAAATCTTTGAATAGATAAGTCTGAGAATATGATTCAGTGGTAGGGCTCTTGCTTTGCACTGGCAAGTCCCTGGGTTTAAAATAAAGAAGTAAATATTTATGTATCCAATAAACCATAGTATCTCAATGCAACTGAATATTTTTAAATAGTACCTTTTTTGTAATTTGTTTGGTATGTTTGCAATACCTAATTATCTTCATTAATTTTTTTCAACAGAGTTCTGCTCATCCCTTTTCTTGGTCTAAAGTCATTGTATGTAAAGTCATTGTATCCCTTTTCTTGTATCTAAAGTCATTTCTTGTATGATGGCATGTTATATTTTCAAAAGTTCGTGGTTTAAAACAGTAATTTTGTGAAAAAAATTAAAATGGCTAAATAAGATTGGAAAATACCCAATTAACTAAATTCAAAGAGTCTATGCGTTTAATATTTTAATGTACATACTACATTTCAAATAAAAGATACATAACACGACACTTTCTGAAGGAGAATTATTCTTTGCAACACATTTTGGATATTCAGAGAGTACATGTCAAATTGAGAAATATTCTTCCTTTTGGGAATGTTCTATTTTATGCCTTATTTAAATATTATTTAAATATTATATGAATAAGTACTGTATTTCTGATGCAGTACTCTGATTTACTTGAATGTATATGATTGCATAAATGTAAGTTGAATGGAAATTATAGAAATAATTGAACTGTTTATACAATTGCTTCTTGATTATTAGATAGTAACCCATTATTAATGGAGAGAACATCTAAACTCTGATGATATGAAAAACAATCTTTCATTCTCCTGAGTAATTTTCTCCTCTGATATAAACCAAATACAAGTGGCTTATAATTTTTGTTTGCTTATTTGGGGACCATATCCAGCGGTACTCAGGGTTTACTCCTGGATCTGTGCTCAAGGACCATTCCTGGCGGGCCTGGTGATGAGGGTGCGGGGCTCGGGCATCATACGGGGTGCTGAGGAGCACCTTACCCCACTGTACTAGGACTCAAGCCCCTCCGTAGTGCTTTGATTGCCTATAACACTTTATTTTTAAAATGTGAATATACAAGTATATTCACTGTCCTCCTGTTGTTCATCGATTTGCTCCAGTTAGCCCAGTAACATCGTGAGACTTGTCACTGTGTTTGGCATATTGAATACATCAAAGGTAGCTTGCCAGACTTTGCCATGCAGGCGAGATACTCTTGGTAGCTTGCCGGCCTCTTTGAGAGGGGCGGAGGAATCAAACCTGGGTCGGCCGCGTGCAAGGCAAATGCCCTACCCGCTGTGCTATCACTCCAGCCCCACAAACATATTAATCATTTAAAAGATAAATTTATAATGATGACTCTAAAAAGGGCTGGAGCAATAGCACAGTGAGTAGGGTGGTTGTCTTGCACTCTCCCGACCTGTCCAATCCAGGTTTGACTCCTCCACCCCTCTGGGAGAGCCTGACAAGCTATGGAGAGTATCTTGCCTGCATGCCAAAGCCTGGCAAGCTACCCGTGACATATTCGATATACCAAACACAGTAACAAGTCTCACAATGGAGACGTTACTGGGCCCACTTGAGCAAATTGATGAACAAGGGAGGCCAGTGCAGACTCTTAAAAAAACAAAAACAAAAACAAAAAACCTGGGTCAGCCTGATGCAAGCAAGCATGCTACCCTCTATACTATCACTCTAACCCTTATATTTTTTAAAAAGGATGATCTAATAGTTTCATTTAGGTGCTTATTTTTGTGCCACATCTGACAGTACTTGGAGGTTACTCTGAGTTCTGTACTTGGGGGCTGCTCCCAGAAGTACCTGGCATTCATGTGGTGCTGGGAATCAAATTCAGGCTTTCTATGTGCAAAGCATGCACTCAGCCCACTGAACTCTCTCTCAAGTTCCCTCTTGCTTATTGCCTTTGCCTGCATATGAGAACCAATGGGGAAAGGGAAGCATGAAGAGTCAAAGAGGAGAAGGGGCCTCTGTCATGTCTGGCCTGGTGAAATGGGTTCTGACTGACAACTAAGTAGACTTTGGTCAGCACGGAAAGCTAAAGAACCTAATCTAAGGAGTTTTCCTAACAATCTGGGAATTCGTCCTTGGGTTTCCTTTCTCAAACTTTTTTCCATGCATATTTAAATTGAATGGATCACTTTCTAAAAGAAAATAGTTTTTGTTCCTTTTAGGGGTACAACCAGTGGTATTCAGGGCTTTCTCCTGGCTCGGTTTTCAGGGAGCACTCGCGGCAGTACTTGGGTACTCTCTCTATGACCCTAAATAAAAAATGATTTTCTTGCAAACACTTGATCTCATTTCTAGCCACAGAAATTTTGGAGGCTTTGGTGTTTGTACACTTGCAGGGTACAACATTTTTTTCTAATGTTAATTCCAATTTCTTTTTACTAGTTAAAACTCCCCTAAGGTATCTTAGTTGTGTGTTGGGGTGGGCGGGGAGAGGGGTTGAAGGGAGAGGCTGGGACTGTGCTCAGGCCATGCTGGGGGTGGGGTGAGTGGCAAGCTTATGTAGGGATCAAACCCATGCTACAAGGCAAGAAACTTAACATGTTGACATCAGTGTGTACCACTGGTGGCTCACATTCTATATTATGATAATACAAAAATAAGAAAACAACGGTAATAATAAATAACTGAGTCAATAATTGGCAGCAAAATAAGGAATGAAAATGGTTACTGCTACCAAAATTTCATATTACATTTAGTTCGGTGCTGCCTGACAATCAGAGTATCATGAATGAAGCTGCCAGATGGTGAAACACAAGTTGTAGTGCCACTGTCATTCAGCTCCATACTATCTCTCAGCCCTTAACATGTCTTCATTCCACCCATGTATTTTTTATTTCTAACTGGTCCAAGAGCAAATTGAATCTAGAAAACGCCACATAGTTGGGGAATTGATATGGAAGGAACATGGAGAATGGAGGTTTTTAATTCTCCAAATAAAACAAAGCACCTGCTCTACCAATCATTAGAAACCTGACTGTCCCATCTGAAGAGCTTGAGTGGAAGAAAAGCTTTGGAAAGCTTCTCAGAGATTTTCTGGGGGTAGTTGGTTAGGTCTAGAGGGGGCATGCTTTACTTTCTCTTCATCAGTAGTGTACTAAGGAAGATCAACATCCAGAGTGAGTCAAGTCCGGGGCCAATCCTGACTGAAGGGGGAGACACAAACGAGGTATGACAGAGAGATGACTTGGAGATCAAAGCCGTAGGTTAAAATTTCAGTTCTCTTCTTTGCATTGTGGTCTTCGGTAAAGACAATTCACTTCAGGTAGAAAGGCAAAAGTGAAGCTAAACAGAAGATGTTAGATAAAACCACTGGGTTGTAATTGTTACTGAAAATACCCATGCAGGTTTGCTTTTGTTGTTGCTGCCATAATTGGTTGTATACTCAGGGAATTCTGGTTGATTGGGTATCTTAGTTGTGTGTTGGGGTGGGCGGGGAGAGGGGTTGAAGGGAGAGGCTGGGACTGTGCTCAGGCCATGCTGGGGGTGGGGTGGGTGGCAAGCTTATGTAGAAGTTGGAGAATGAAGACCTCAAAGTTCCAGCCCACCGAGGCATTTGGGAAGGGACTATTCAGAGAAATAAGAATTATGGCAGCTGCTGTTTCCCTTGTGTTTGTTTTCAAACCTTATGGGGAGAGGATGAGGGGGAGAGAAAAAAAGGAAAGGAGGGAAGTTATTTCTGAAGGGTTAAAGCAAGATAGTGCTGCAAAGTGATTCCAGATGTACAAATATTAATATCTCCCTCTCCCTGATGAATGAGAAGGTATGACCCAGTTAGGAAACTGCTAAAATTACCGGCGCCACCGAGACCTCAGTTGATGGCCCGGCACAGATTTTTATCCTTACCCCGACAACTATAATGCTGATGAAGGGCTCGGACCTGCTGCAGCAGACCTTCCAAGACTTCATTCTGTCCCTTGTGTCTAGGCTCTCTGTCATCATAGTCTTTCCAGTCTATTGAACAAAAGAAACAAACAGAGTGAACTTTGAACGCAGGGGAGGCTTCTTCCCTGCCCTGCCTTGGGAGACGAGTTGTGCTCAGACTCCCCACAAACTGAGGATAAGCAACCAACACTCGCACAGCTAACAAGCAAGACCAAGGGCTTGGATGCTGCCATTGTTCAGGGCCTTGTGCAAAACAGTAATTGTGGTTGGTTGCTTGTGTTGGGCAGTTTAAGAGAAACAGAAAATGGTAATTGGAAGCCAGAAGAAAATAAGAAATTGGGGAGACCAGTTACCTCTCCCTAATTTCTTACCCTCCTTTTTTGCATACTCTGTCCTAAGCAGTTCCCTGGTCACCTCTCCACTCAGCACCCCAAGTCTCAGTTGGATTTCCACAGGAGGAAAGAAAGGGGTGGGAATGTGTAGACTAGATGAAATCCACAGTCCCAATGCTTTTATTGTAGGTTTCACACTTTTGGCCAAATTGACATTTCTTTCCAAGGAAGGAGCCCACATCAGATGCCAAGAAATGGAAATCTACATTTTGCTCTAATGAATGTCTGCTTTGGTTAGCTGGCACAGCAACTCCTGCACATACTCTGAGCCACCAACCACCCTGTCTGCTCAGTCTCTAAATATACAGTATTAGCTTACACGGCAAATTTAAATTGCAATACCCACTGAGATTTCTTTCTCCCTTCTATTTTCATTCCATTTGGCTATAATGCTATCAAGAGTAATAAGTCGTATGGGACTAATGTCAAGATTGTAATTCTACTGTCTCTCACTCTTGATATTTTTTAAGTAGGTCATTTCATAGTTCATCCCCTTTTCTTTCTATTCCCCCCACCCCAAATTCAGATTTTATTTTCTGAACTTTTCCAAAGGAACAGTGTTAAGATCTCCTTGGTTGAAATTCTTTCTCTAGAATGCTAGTCGTTATTTCCCAGATTCCCAGAAAAAAATCCAGTTAGCTCCTGAGAGTATCTGAGGCTTAAATTCTAGTTGTCTGACTTTCACATTCTCTCTCCCCAGATTTATTTTGAAAGGGGGAGTCTCCCTGTTCAGAAACGTAAGCAAATGCCTTGGCAGTTAAAGCGAGGCAAAAGCACCCCATGTAGGTCCATTCAAGGAAAGTTTGATAGAACTCACAGGTTTGGGAGGGTCAGATAAACCTAGGTATGATTCTTGGATCTTCAGATTTCCTTCCAGCTCAGAGATTGTGCACCAGCAAGTTACAAGAAAGGCACATTTCTTCCTCATAATGTGGTGAGTATTGTTAGGATTAATTGAGAGGTCTGTTAGATATCAGGCATGATGTTTTGTGGCAGGGGTCATGTAAACAACTGAAAAAAAGGAGGGGGTCCACTGATGGAGTGTTAACTCCATGAGTGATGAGAATGGAAATATCCCTTGTGACCCTATAAGATGTTTCTCTCTGAAGAAGGAGGCCTGAGAGATTTTTCTCTCCAGTCTTTCCTTCCTACCTTCCAAGAACCATTTTCCATGAACTTCTTAGAAATCCTAGGTTCCCAAATGAACACTCAGTAATGTACTGCTCATCTCACTGGTAATGAAACTAGGATTCTAACAGGGCCTCAGGACCTTCATAGAGTGCTCATTGCATTATACTGAGGACATGCTTTTGTCTTTATTTTCTCTTGGGCAGGAGGGTCAGAGCTTGGTTGGATTTTGTGTGGTGTGACTTAGTTGAGGTCTGATCTGGAGACAGGGAATTGGCATAGGTGCATTCTGTAGACTCGATTCCATGTGGGCAGGAACCAGGATTTAATTTCTCCTTACCTCAGGTTTATTCTTTGTAACGTGAGAGCTTACTTCTGGCTCTGTGTTCAGGGATCACTCCCAGTCATACTCAGGGGACTGAATATGATGCTGGGAATCAAACTGGGATTGACTCTGTGCAAGCAAGTGCCTTAATCCTTGTATTATCTCTCCAGTCCCCCAAATATATTTTAAGGCACTTGAGGTTGAAAAGAAAAGCTGTGTAAAGTCCCTCTCTGGATTATATGAGATACTCATTAAATGCTGAGGCATTATGACAGAAAGCATGATGATGTTCAAGTAGGATGTACTAGAAAAGGACTTTTACTGGGAAATTTGGAAATCTTTGAGGAAGAGAACTTTAGGCTACTCTTAGATTTTCTACAATGTCCTTGGTGTCTGGGAACAGAGAATAAAAGTTACTCGCATAGATACCTAAAAAGCCATGAATTAATTGTTTGTTTTATGAAGCACTCATGATAAGAACAATAACATTGTTTTCTTGAGTAAGACTCCTGGGTGGCTGAGTGACTCCACGGCCCTGAACATGCTAATAATTCTTAATAAGTGTTAATACTGCCATCAATGCAAAGGGGAGATGAAATGGACCTGGCTCACTCAGCAGAGCTCTATTTATTACATCAGAGACTAGCTCGAGTTGATGACTTTATGATACATTAGAAAATTGCTAATGCTAAATTGCAGCTCAAGTGAGCACTGGACACGATGCCAAAGTTTTTGGAAAGAATGAGTTTTTCTCCTAGATGTTTGGAAGGTTCTGACGACTACATAAAATAGGAGACTTCAGGGATGAGGGAGAAAATTGAAAATATATTAAGAAACGAGGAACCTGACAGGACTAAACTGAGTGCGGTAGGAAAAGAGCAGATTGTGCCACATAATAACGCTCACTGTTCTGGTAATGAGACACTTGCATTGCAACACAATGCAGAGCTTACATTCACTGGTCATATCAGGGCTTTCCTGATCGTAACTGAGACAAGCCTGTCTGGGTCCTTTTCTCTTATTATGTACCCTACCATATAACATAACTCTATAAAAACACATTAAGGCCTTTTGTAAAAATATAAAAAAGAGTTTTTATAGCTTACTGGAACATATTACTAACTTTCCAATTACTCTGACATGTTAGAATACATTGTCCTCTAGTAAATATCTAAATACTGATATTGGTTACATCACAATGTCATAATGTTTATAAACAGAAAGTCATTTATAAACAGAAATATATATATATTTTAATATTGTCCTTTCCAAGTGATGGGGCATGTCTATAGCAATGATAATGACATAGTAGAATTTCCATTCTGTATCAGATATCTCTGCTGATCAAATGTGTCATTTTATTTTATCTTTTTGCTTTTTGGGGTCACATCCAGAAATGCTCAGGGGTTACTTTTGGCTCCACACTAAGGAATTACTCCTGGCAATGCTCAAGGGACCATATGAGATGCTGGGGACCAAGCCCAGGTAGGATGTGTGAAAGGCAAATGCCCTACCTGCTGTACTGTTGCTACACCCCCTCAAATGTGTTATTTTATTAGAAAGTGTTACCAATTACAACATTAATTACCAAGTCATAAATGACAGTTCCCCACTCTAGACAACTCATTTGTTATTCTGGAGAGAGCTCTTCCAGTGGGCTACGAGGGAAAATACCTCAGTAAAACTTGGAGCTTACAGAACTAGAACATCTGACATTTGTAGTTTATAAGTAAATGTTCTCATTATGTGAATAAGAATATGTATGAGACATGCATTGAAGTAGGTTTCCCCCGATCCACCATCAGTTTTACTGAGACTACACTTTCTTCAACTTTTCTGTTCTTTCTCTCCCTCCAGCTCCAGTAATGCATACTCTTCTCCCCTCCCCATCAAATGAGAGTGGTTATGAACTTAGAAGTTTCATATTGTAGTCTTTCCAGTGTCTACTTTGGGTAAGTTTTCAATGAGAAAGATACCCAAATTAAACAAGAATCACTAAGTTATCAAATACTGGTGACTTCAGAGACTTTTAAGAGAGCTCTGGCATTGGTGGTCCATAGCTTCTGTGGTGTGGTCTAATTCTGACTCCACCACAGAAGATAGTCAAGATGGACTGGCTGATTCTTGGTTAATTTGTCAGCTTCAGAGATTGGTACTAGTTACCACAGCAAGACTGATCAATTCCGACTTGCAGCGTGGCTCAGCCACTTATCAGAATGTGCCACAGTTGCTCTGCCTCTCAATTTCCTTACTAACAGAGATTTTAGTACTTCCATATTTTGTGATGTTGGGCTCTATGACTCAAGCAGCTTTCTGCCACTTCAGTATGTGTATTGCAAACATTCAGAGTAACTACACATTCTTAGATAAAAGTGCAACATGGAAATTTTAGTTTTAATATTGAGAATGATGTAGCTGATAATTATGGTGACATTTATCCTTGAAACAGAATAATGACGAAGGGACCGATTTGAAGATTAAGTGAGATTCTAAATGTGCTCAGAATATACTGCCTGTTCTGAAGTTCACCCTGGGTACCACTAGAAAAATATATAAATACAGAAAAAAGAAAACGAAAGAGCTCATAATCTTATAATGCAACATTTCAGTGTTATGTGAAAAATCATTTTTTTGCATAAAACTTATGCTGTAAGAATTTCTTTCACACAATTAATGCTTTCATAAAATGTCATTTTTTGCATTTTATTTTATAGTATGATGATGGATATATCATACTTCTTTTAACTATCAAGTTAATGTCAGATATATGTTCTCAGCATACTTGCTAGTTCAGTGTAATAACATGTAACTGTACATATGTACATCATTGTTTGCATCTGTTCCCTTAGGTTAGTTGTTAGATGTGTAATTATGGAGTACAAAGAAATATGTGTTCTTATGATGGTTGATGGGGCATGGCAAACTGGGTTCCACAAAGGTTATAGCATGAGCACTTTCGCAAGAAGCATATGACAACATTTTTTAACTATCACAATTAGGAAAGACTTTCTAAATTATAGTGCAATTTAGAGGAATTGGTTCATTATGAAAAAAATTGATCATATTGTTTGTCTGGATATGCTTCTGCCTGGTTAATAAATAATTACTCAACAAACCAGGCTAGGGATAATTTTAAAATCAGAGAAGGCTTTCTGTTGCTTTTCTGGAACCACCACCACAGATGTTATGTAGACTGGACTTGCAGACTAGCATTTTTGAAGTTTTATTCTGCAGCTAATGTCAAAAATAAGATTTTGTTATACTTAATTCTCTCAGACTGAAGAGGGTGAGAGTAATGGAAGGAGGATGGGAGCTAAAAGGGATGGCATGGTCTCAGTCAGCCCTTCCTACTGTGGCCTTTCTCTGCAACCCCAATCAGCCCCTTTCTCCAGATATTGAATTGAGACTCAGAGCCTTCACATAACTTCTGAAGGCCACCCAGCTACAAAGGTACAAAGGGGAACAAATTCAATCTTGCTGGTTCCAAATTCCCTCTCCTTTCATTCTTCTGAGTTGCCATGTAGGGAAATAGTTTTGCAGAGCAATCATTTCTTATATGGCTAAAGGCTACTCTGAGGGGGATTTTGTTAGTCCCACATGGCAGAGAAGGATGGACTATGACATTGCCAGGGCAGGGTAGAGCTGGAACCTGAAAACAGGTCGAGAGCATCTAGCCACCACTTACTGGAAGGAGAAGCACAGGCTGGTGTTGTGGTCTGAGCAGGTCCCCATCCTTTCATGTTATAAGCCGAGACTTGAACAAAATACTGTTGACCCTGCAAAGTATTGAAATCGAGGCATCATGAGTGTGTTTTAGTCATTTGCATCCTAGATACAGATTCCTGTGCAGTTTGAATTTATTCTTCCCTTTGAGAAACCTACTACCTACACTTGAGCTTTTTAGTTTTTCCTGACCATTATGTTTGTATCTGATAATCAAAATATTTCCCATACACTTAGCTGTTTTTGTGTTTTTTACCCCAAATTGGAATAGCATATTTTTTCTGCCCCATGCCTAGCCTCTAAAATTATTCAATTATTTATTTGACATTTTTTTTACTCTCCCCCCCACCCTCACACACCCCTGCCATTTTTATTGGTGTACTGGTTGGAGCGATAGCCCAATGGGTAGGGCGTTTGCTTTGCACACGGCCGACCTGGCCAACCCAGGTTCGATTCCTCCACCCCTCTTGGAGAGACTGGCAAGCTACTGAGAGTATCTCGCCCACATGGCAAATAAGTGCACCATGATGTATCCGGTATGCCAAACACAGTAACAATAAGTCTCACAATGGAGACATTACTGGGCCAGCTCAAGCAAATCGATGAACAATGGGAGGATAGTGCTACAGTACTACAGTGCTACTGTGATTTACAATACTGTCAATGTTGGTGGTAGTTTCATGCATACATTATTCCAACATCATACTCACATGACTAATTATTAAGGTTCAGCAAAATTCTTACCTTCACCTCTTTCCTCCAGAGCCAATCCTTATAGCCACCATTACCTTATTTTCGTCAATCAACTGGCTTTGTAAAATTAAGTTAAATAAACGTTTTTCAGATTAGTATATAAAAAGTGTTCAGTGTTTTAGTGCCTGCATAGTATTTTTCAATGACTTAAAATATTCTCACTATTTAGCATGTTCTTAATTGGTGGGCATCTTGATTGTTTCTATATTATATGCCACAATAAACAATGCTGCAGTAGATATTTTTTTTTCTTTCTTTTTGGTTCACACCCGGAGATGCACAGGGGTTACTCCTGGCTTTGCACTGAGGAATTACTCCTGATGGTGCTCAGGGGACCATATGGAATGCTGGGAATCAAAAAAGGGTCAGCTGCGTGCAAGTCAAACGCCCTACCTGCTGTACTATTGCTCCAGCCCCACAATAGATGGAAGTGGCCTTGCCATCCCACCCCAGCCCCCCATCATTTTGTATGGTTTCATATTTTTGCTTTGAGGAGTTTTTTCCTGGTGAAACCAGAATTTGATCAAATATGCCTGCAAAAAAAATTGTAAAATGGTGTTTGAAGTAAAAAAAATTTTTTTGTAGATCCTTTGCTAGGGATTTAATAATGTTGGACCTACTATATTATAAAGTTAATATTTTTAGCATTAAAATGATTTTCTCTGTACCCTCAGGGCTATGGGGAATTTGCAGAAGTGTAAATCTACCTCTAAGCTTTTATGTGATTAGGAGAGTGTCTGCATTGCTCTCATTGGATGACCAAGTGGAAAAAACTTAATCCCTATAAAAATTAGTTCAAATATTAGAGAAACTCTCCATGGAGAGAAAGTTTTTCCATTTTTATCACCAATATCACTTTTTCTTTTAAGCAATGGAAATTCCCTAGAGTTCTCTTCTGGCTCTCTTCCATCTAATATTAATGATATAGGGTTGGGAATCAGTCTCCTGTTGATAGCATCTCTGGGGGCCACCCCTTGGATTTGTTTGTACTGGTAATCCAGTTTTGGCCCCTGGTGTAGACATATGATTAGGACTAAAAGTCAAGATTCTGTGGTGGTGACCCAACCAACAACAATCCTATTATAATTAGTTGGTTCAAACTTGAAAAGATGCAAGCCCAATACATTGTTTTAACACCGGATTTCAGGATTAAACCTTACAGATAACTGTTTTAATTGACTAACCTTTTAGAAAAACAACACAGAAAGTTTTTTCCTCTCCCTCTCACATTTGATGGTCCTAAGATAATAATTATTTGAATTGAGCCAAAAAATATACAGGCTTGATTTAAATCTACTCAAACAAATGGGATGAAAAAGAAAAGAGTTGCTAGTTGCTTTTCTTTTTCCGCTCTGCACATCTTACAAGTAATTAATGTTGGAGTTTAGATCAGTTAAACAAATAAGCAAAGTTTGTGTCCGATTTTCATTTACAGTTTAAAATGGTTCAGTTTACTGAGAAATGCAGCACCACATATAGTTTCTTTTTTGTGAAAGCAGATCTAGACAAATTTTTTTTTTAATCAGGGAAGAAGGATTTCTCTCAGGAAATTGTGTGACTCCAATTGATGACTGATCTCAACTGAGGCTGTGGGGGTGAGGCTTAGATGAGGTTGTTATTTTTACCATAAGACAGGGAGTCAAAATTGGATCTCTCAGAGCCTTTGATCCCTGCCCTACCCCACCCCCACAACCCGAAGATTAGACTGTGATCCAGAAAGCAGCAGCTTTCAAGACTTGTATGAGGCCCTTTCTTTTTCTGATCTCTGTAGAACATGGCAGCTTACAAAGTGGTTCATGCTGTCTGCTCACTCCTCTGTGAGGTTCAGATTATGGATACCAGACATATCATGCTTAACGAGTGGCAGTTGTTGCCAGAGGCCTGGGCGTTGGCTGTTGCTTCCAGAGTCGGCATTTGCTACCAAAATTCCAGCACAAACGTCAGGCAGAGGGCAATGGGAAGTTTAAAAGGAAGCATTTACCCTGGTAAGTCCAGTGATTGTGCATCTCAGTGACTGCAGGTTTTCCATGATAATCTCTCCAGCCAAAGGACAAAAGTTTTTAGACATGCTCCATTCCACTAGAAAGAGAGAGAGAGGGGGGAAAGAGAGAAGGCACAGAGAGAATGAGAGGGAGAAAGGAGGAAGAGGAAGAAAGAAGGGAAAAGGAAAAGAAAGAAGAGGGAGGAAGAGGAACAGAGGAAAAGGTTGGGGAGTAGCATGGGAAAAGAAAGAGAGAAAGGATGAATGGAAATGGGAGGGAGAATGAAATTCAGTCATATAATCCATATATCAAAAGTATCCCAGAAATACAACTATCAAAAACAGGAAAGGCCAAGTTTATCTTTTTGCAAATAATGGCACATCTTAATAATTCTATCTCCTTGGAATAATAATTCTGCTTTCAGGTTCATGATTATTTTTCAAAAAAAGAGCAAAAAATTTTTTTCAACTTGATAATAATGCCTAAAATACGCAGACGTTAAACTATACCAAAAATATGTATACAGAAACACCCATGTTCAGGCACACAATACATAAATCAGTTAATGCATATGAGTGAAGAGGATGTTGGTACTTTACGTTCTGTTCACTCCCCAAGTCAGCTTCCACATTCTATTGCAAGTGATGTTCTTACCCAGATTAAGACACCCCCTTTCCTTTCCCTTTATGTAAGTGACACCTTCACCAGCAAGTTTTCTCTACCTTTACTGCCTTGTAGGCCGCTTCCTTGGCTTTCTTTCTCCTTTCTAATACCTCTTCTAGGATTTCCCATTGCTTTCTTTCCAGCCCATGGATCTGGGATGTGGGGTTGACCTTTTCAGTGCTCTTTCCCCTCAACACCCAACAGCTCCAAATTGAGTATTAAATCACTGTAAAATCATCGAAGTTCTAACACTCACACTCTAAAAGATCCCATCTTATCATGAGACCACATTTTTAGTATTGGTTAAAAACCGACAGTCAGGAGGGATAACTTGTGCATCATCAGTTACACGTGTCTGAAGTGACAATTTATACATGGCAGGATATAAGACCTCCCTAGAGGAAGCAGGTAAGTAATTTATATGGAAGACAAGCACTGCATATTTTAAAAACTCATGATGACAAGCTGCAGGTATTTTATTTTTGTATAACTGTTTTTGCTTAGGTACTAGGATTTATAATATTGTTACTCATACTTTTCGTGGAGGCATCATTCCATCACCACATCCACCACCAGACAATTTGCTTCCCTCCACTACCTTGGTGTCCCAAGATACCCTCCTCCACACTACATCCCACCACGTAAGTTCTATAGTTCTATAGACAAAATTTTCAGTTATGATGACTGTATTTGTTCTCTTACTATGCATCCTTTGTATTTTATATTTGGGATAGATCTCTCTCCTTTTTTAAAAAATTGTGGTGAATATGGGGCTGGAGCAATAGCACAGCGGGTAGGGCATTTGCCTTGCAAGGGGCCGAGCCAGGTTCAATTCCCAGTATCCCATATGGTCCCCTGAGCACTGCTAGGAGTATTTCTGACTGCATGAGACAGGAATAACCCCCGTGCATCACCAAGTGTGACCCAAAAACCAAAAAAAAAATTTTGGTGAACAAAGCTAAACTCCTGAAATTCCACAAAACAGTAAATTAATGATGAAGTGAAATATTTTTTTCCAAAAAATGTCTTTTTTTATAGGTACATAACTAAAAAAATAAATACTGTGAATAATTTTGTGATAGTACATTTTAAGATTTTATAAGCAATAGATAAACCTTATAAATGTAAAATTAGTAAGAATTAAAGCCATCTACCACAAGCCTACAGCAAGCATCATCCTCAATGGGGTAAAACTGAGAGCCTTTCCTCTAAGATCAGGGACGAGACAAGGATGTCCACTCTCTCCACTGCTGTTCAATATAGTACTGGAAGTACTTGCAATAGCGATTAGGCATAAAAAGATATTAAGGGCATCCAGGTAGGAAAGGAAGAAATCAAGCTCTCACTATTAGCAGATGATATGATACTATACTTAGAGAACCCTAAAACCTCTGCCAAGAAACTCCTAGAAACAATAGACTTGTATAGTAAAGTGGCAGGCTATAAAATCAATACCCAAAAGTCCATGACTTTTCTATACGCAAATAGTGAAAGAGAAGAAAGTGACATGAAGAAAAGAATCCTGTTCACAATTGTGTCCCAGAAAATCAAGTACCTAGGAATCAGCTTAACAAAGGGAGTAAAGGACCTGTACAAAGAAAACTACAAAAAGCTACTTCAGGAAATAAAAGAAGACACGAGGAAATGGAAAGATATCCCCTGCTCATGGATCAGGAGAATTAACATTGTCAAAATGGCAATAATTCTCAAAGCACTGTACAAATTCAACGTGATCCCTATTAGGATACCCATGACATTCTTCAAAGAAATGGAGCAAACACTCCTGAAATTTATTGAAACAATAAGCTCCCACGAATAGCTAAAAATTCTTGGGAAAAAGAAAATGGGAGGAATCAACCTCCCTAACTTCAAACTCTACTACAATGCAGTAATAATTAAAACAACATGGTACTGGAACAAAAGCAGAGCTGCAGACCAATGGAACAGGTTTGAATATACTGACATCTCCCCACAAGCATATGATCATCTAATCTTTGATAAGGGGGCAAGAAAAGTGAAGTGGAGCAAGGAAAGCCTCTTTAACAAATTGTGCTGGCAAAACTGGACTGCTATATGTAAAAAAGTGGGTTCAGATCTCTGCCTAACGCCATGTACAAAAGTAAGATCAAAGTGGATTAAAGACCTCAACATCAGATGGAAATCCATAAGGTACATTGAAGAAAGAGTTGGCAAAACCCTCCATGACATTGAAGCTAATGGTATCTTCAAAGATGTTATGCCACTGGCCAAGCAAGTGAAAACAGAGATAGACAAATGGGACTATTTTAAACTAAGAAGCTTCTGCACCTCCAAAGAAACAGTGACCAAAATACAAAGACAGTCTATGGAATGGGAAAGGATATCCGCCGAATACACATCTGACAAGGGGTTGATATCAAGGATATACAAAGTACTGGTTGAACTCCACAAGAGGAAAACATCCAACTCTATAAAAAAAAATGGGGCAATGAAATGAACAGAAACTTTCTCAGAGAAGAAATCTGAATGGCTAAAAGGCACATGAGAAAATGCTCCACATCATTAATCATCAGGGAGATACAGATCAAAACCACAATGAGATATCATTTCACACCACAGAGACTGGCCCACGTTCACAAGAACAAAAGCAACCTGTGTTGGCATGGATGTGGCGAGAAAGGGACCCTCCTTCACTGCTGGTGGGAATGCCGACTGGTTCAACCCTTTTGGAAAACAGTATGGATGACTCTCAAAAAATTAGAAATTGAGCTCCCATTTGACACAGCAATACCACTCCTGAGAAAATATCCCAGAGAAGCAAAAAAGTATAGTCGAAATGACCTCTGCACTTGTTTGTTCATTGCAGCACTCTTTACAATAGCCAGAATCTGGAAAAAACCTGAGTGCCCGAGAACAGATGACTGGTTAAAGAATCTTTGGTACATTTACACAATGGAGTACTGTGTAGCTGTTAGAAAAGATGAAGTCATGAAATTTACATACAAGTGGTACTACATGGAAAGTATCATGTTAAGCAAAATGAGTCAGAAAGAGAGGGATAGACATAGAAAGATTGCATTCATCCGGGGAACATAAAGTAACAAAATAGGAGACTAACACCCAAGAATGACTGAGATTAGTACCAGGAATTTTGCTCCATGGCTTAGAGGGGAGCTACACATGCTAGGGGAAAAGGCAGCTCAGATAGAGAATGGAACACCAAATAAAGGATGTTGGGGCATCCTCCCAGGATGGGAGACGCATGCTGAAAGTAGACTAGAGAGCAAGCATGATTAACACTCAATGCCTCTTTTGCAAACCACAACACCCCAAAGGAGAGAGAGAGAACAAAAAGGTATGCCCTGCCACAGATGCAGGATGGGATAGGAGGGATGGGGGGTGGGAGGGATACTGGGATCCGTGGTGGTAGGAAATGGGCACTGCTGGAGGGATGGGTATTTGATCATTGTATAATTGAAACCCAAGCACAAAAATTTGTAAGTCTACAACTGTACCTCATGGTGTCTCACTAATAAAAATAAAAAAAAAACGTAAAAATATTTAAGGGGAGAATTTGGATAGGCCTATAAAAGTATAAAAGTGTGTTTTATCTTCAGAAAGGGAATATTGGTTTTGTATTAGAAAGATATTATACTATAGATAATATTATAAGTCATTTTGGATCTTGGTGCCTTTATTCCTCAACTCTGAGAAATTCTTTTCTTTTTAAAATTTTTGTAGGAGTATTGCTATTTATTCAGCCATTGATTAGCTGATTGAATTGGGCATGAAATCCACCTTAATTTAAAAAAATTTTTTTTTATATTTATTTATTGAATCACTGTGGGAAAAGTTACTAAGCTTTCAGGTTTAAGTCTCGGTCATACAATGGCCAAACACCTTTCCCTTCACCAGTACTCATTCTTCACCACCAAGAACCCCAGTATACCCCCCCCCCTACTCCTCCAAATGCCTGTGAGGCAGATGATTTCCACTTAAGTCTTCTCTACATTGATTACATTCGTTATTTTGACAAAAGATGCACCATTATTGTTTAGAATTTTCCCCCAAACAATCAGAATTGCTGAAAAGGCATTGTGAAATATTTTGTTTTCTATAGCTGGTTATGAGAATCATATCATGTCACGTGGCCATGGTTTTGTATTTCTGCAAAGAGCCCTATAATAGCAAGATTGGTTTCTGTGTGTCTGGTGTTATGGCTGTGCCGGAGAGTCGTTCGTGGGGGACAATTCGTGACCTTGGTAGGGCGTGAAGGATGTGCTGGTACTGCCCCCTTTCCATGAGACTGCAGTTGCCTGTCACCACCGGCTCGTACCTGGCTTTCCTATAAGTTCTGAGGTGGCAGCCACCTTGCTGCCAGGGGGGGAAAAGGTGGAAGGGAGCAACACCCTTTCCCTCCTGGGGAGGCATGGCGCCGTAGTTTAACACATGGTC